TTTTTTTTTATGTATGAGAGTAATATTATTTAAAATCACTGATGTTAAAACACCAATTTTAAGTGATGCTAGACGTCATTAAGCCCCTATTTGGTCTTCATTCTTTCTAAATTTTAATGGTTGAAATAGTATTTTTTTGAAGCATGTGTGATTGAAAAAGAATGAAATTTTTTTTATTTGAGTGTAATATTATTTTATGGAAAATTGTGTGATTGAAAATAAGAATGAGAAAAAAAATAAGAACGAGAATGGAGGCCAAACAGGGGTTAAATGAATCATCTGTCAGATAATACCACATAAATATATGCTAAATAGCATTATTCTTTTGATAAAGACTACCCACTCATTGTAATTGTTTGACCTATGAATATTATTAGTAAGAGAATAAATTTTTTGAGGTGCTTAGTATTACATCTTCAATTATTTGATGAATTTGTAATTGAACAAATATATATATATATATATATATATATAATTGAACAAATATATATATATATATATATATATAGAGAGAGAGAGAGAGAGAGAGAGAATAATTTGATAAAGCTGAGTAAGAAATGGAATGAATAGGTCAACTATGAATAACTAAAAAGTGAATGTTGAAAAACATTACTGAGATGCAATGATTTGTGAAAAATTAAAGAGGAAAGGATACTTCTGAGATAAACAGAATTCTCTTATTCAAATTATAAATGATAAATAAAAATTATTTAAAAAAAAGTAAAAATAAAATGATCAACAACTTAACAAAATGAACACCATACTAAATGAAGGCAATTTCCATTTTTCTATGCAAACAGAAGATGCACCAAGAGAAAACAGATCAAAAAGAACTTCTTCTTCTTCTTCCTTTTTTTTCTCGCTTTTGTAATTTTTCCATGAACGAAGTGGATAAAGTAAACATTTTAACTATTTTTGTTTCTTTCCATTTTTCTTTCCAAAAATAATTTTCTAGGAAATAGTTTTCTTCGCATTTTTTGTTTTTATTAGAATCGGTTGCTGTACTGTTAAATATAAATCATTTGAAGAATGGAGCATGTAAATAACATCATCATTTGCATTCTTGAACATATATTCCACTTCAACACCACCATCCATCAATTTTTTCGTCCAGTTTATGATTTTTCGAGCATTAAGGTTTGTCTAACCAACATGGTGTATAATTTTTGCGTTCGATTTATTAAAATTCATCAGAACTGTGAGTAGAATGCCTCCAAATTACATATTTGTGCATATTTTTTGTTATCGTAATAAATGAGTATTTCACGCTAAAAACTCCCAAAAATCAAGCTGTTTCGATTCAAAAGAAATATCCCTATTAGATAGACCTTTAAAGGAATTTAGAAAATGAGCCTTTTATGATTTTATTTAGTCTCACAGAATTATCGTTTATTTCCAATCCTTCAACAGGAAAAAAAAAAATTAAAATTAAAATTAAAAAATAAAAAAGAAAAAAGAAAAAAAACCATGATATAGTATATGATATAACTTTTTTGGATTCTCTTTGCACGGAAAAATGAAAATCAGAGTCACAATGGTATTCTCTTGCACTTGGGGATTATTTTGATAGTTTAAGAATTTATTGGCTTTTATGGTAAATTTAGATTTTTCTATTAATTAAGTTCTTTCTTGGCTAGTGTTTCAAATAGTACCTTTGATTAGGGTTTTTACAATGGTAGTTTGAGATTTCTTTCTAGGACCGCTAGGGTTCTGTTAAGAGGGACTTATCACCTATGAAAGAAAAGTGAGTTTCTCAATTATGTATCCAATTTTCAGTATTCTGTATGAATCGTGAAGTTTAAACTTTCGCTATTGTACGTGAATCAACATGTCTTTGATGTATAATTTGTTAGTGTTCAAGAGAAAATAAATAGGAATTGGAAAGTCGTCCAGAATTTTGTGTTATCACGCTTCCCTTCCTTACATCCACGCTAGGTGGGGACGGATTTTATTCATTATATCATTGTTATATTATATGAAATATTAATTTTACCTGCATTTTAATTATCCAAAGGAAATTAGATATCTTGTTAGATTAGGTTTCTTCTTCTAAGATTTAACTATTTAAAATCAAGAGAAATACTTCCCCTTTTAGTTTTACTGTTTTCTTCTTCTTCTTCCTCCTTTTTTTTTTTTTTTTGCTGTTTCTTTTCTGTATCAATCAAAATGTTGTCACATATGCCATTGAAGGCTTGTGACGATCGACTTTATGGATAAAGTGATACAATTGTGACGACTGATGAATTTGTTAAATATATAGCATATAGTCATTTTGGTAGCATCAAATTATGGTAGGTTAATGGTGAGGGACACAGAGGTTGAGGAGATTTAACAACGGCATAATAACATTTTTCTGTCTATTTGCCCCATCAAAGCTGACGAGGTTTGTCGATTTATTGCCGACTTGAATAGTTGTTAGAACTTGGTATCCAAGGAGGCCGTGTGCAAAAGTTAGGGTTAAAGCACACAAAATAATATAATTGGCTTGGTTGGGGAAAGAACGAGGCTAAAGGTTAATTGACACGTTTGAGATTTCTTTATAGAATTGGTTTCTTTGATTAGGATTTTTACAATGGTAGTTTGAGATTTCATCCCTAGGGTTTTCTTAGAGGGAGTTATCACTTGGGAAATGAAAAATTCATGAGTTTCTCAATTATGTATCCAATATTTTGTATGAATAACGAAGTTTAAACTTTCGATATTGTTCATGAATCAACGTGCTTTTGATGTATAATTTTCCAGTCTTCAAGAGAGAATTAACAAAAATTAGAAAGTCATCGAGAATTTCGTGTTATTCACCCTTCCCTTCCGTACATTACTATGCTAGCAGGTTTTGGCGAATTTTATTCATTATTATATTATTTGAAATATTGTTTACTTGCAATTTAATTATCCTGGGGAATTTAAATGTTTTGCGTTGGATATTGGTTAAATAAATCGAAAATTGAAAATCGATTAAAGTTCGTATCGACTTCGACTAAATACTCAAAAGCTCGACTCAATTCGTTTAGGCAAAATTGTTTGCCACTTCGCCGCTTCGGGGCGCACAAACGGGGATCGACCTGCCCGGTCAGGTCGCAGGGGTCGAGGGGGCAACGCCCCCGAAAGAGAATTTTGATTTCTCTGCATGTATTCAAGGGTATATTTGACATTTCGAAAACCAACATCGGATGAATGAGAAATTACGAAAAAGGCCTCAACCATTAGTGAATAGACACCTTTTCATAAAGGTGCATTGTTTGGAAAGGGTTTGGCCTCAACCATTTCGTCCACACCCTTTCATGGTCTATAAATAGGACCCTTTGGGTGTCCTATTCCTCACAATTTGATATGCAAAAACGTCTCTCATCCTCTCTTCTATCCAAAATCAAAATCATTTCATTTATTTTGATTTTCTTTCATTTCATCTTTGGAGTACATAAGCCTACATTTGGTTCGTTGTACTTGTGTTTTGGAGTGCTACAAACACAAGTGTAGTCGTTGTATCTTGGGAGTCGATTGCCAAAATCCGTAGGCACCGTTGCGGGGCAAATTCGACTTAAAGACAAAGAGTCCAACTCTTGCCTCGGCTTTGTCACCATCATTATACTTATTTCGGCGTCACTATTCACAAAATTCTTCCAACAATTTGTTAGATTACGTTTCTTCTTCTCAGATTTAACTATTTAAAATAAAGAGAAAATATTTTCCCTTTTAGTTTTACAGTTTTTTTTTTAACTTCTGCTGCTTCATTTTGGTATCAAAGCACAATTTTCGATCCTTGTCAAAATGTTGCCACAGAGGCCATTGAAGGCTTGTGATGACTATGGATGAAAGTGATACAAAGAGATAAGATAACACAATTATGATGATTGATGCATTTGTTAATGTAGTATATATATGGCCATTTTGGTAGCCTCGAATTATGGTAGGTTAACTAAAGTTGAGGGACCTAGAGGTCGAGGAGATTTAGCTCCTATTGGGTTCCATTTTAATGTGATTTTGAGAGAATGTATTTTCGAAGAGTCATGCTATATATATAGTCATTATTGACAACATTATTTGGCAACATCACATTTATCGATTTAAAAACTGTTTTTTATATCAAATGCTTGAATTTTGACAACACATGATTGACAACCAAGTTTTGAGTTTACGTGTAATATTTTTTAATGGAAGAATATGTGATTCAAAATAAATTTTGAAAAATTGTATTTTGAAATTAATGGAGCCTAGCTCAACAACAGCATAATAACATTTTTCAGTCCATTTGCACCATCGAAGCTGACGAGGTTTGTCGATTTATTGCTGACTTGAATAGTTGTTAGAATTTGGTCTCCAAGGAGGCAGTGCAAAAGATAGGGTTAACCACTAAGGAGCACACAAAACAATACAATTGGCTTGGTTGGAGAAAGAAACGAGGCTAAAAGTTAATTGACACGTTTTATTCAATGCATATATTAGTACTACGTTTCAGGACAATATGACGTGCAACTTAGTTTCCAAGGATGTATGTCGTTCACTATTGAGTCATCTTCGACGGCTTGATGAACATGTAATCTCCACGTTTATTATTGTCGAAAAGGGCGAAGGATACTGTAACTTTGATTCAGATTGACATAGCTAGAAAGACTGTTTTGGAAGATGAAGTCTTGACAAGAGAAACAAGATCAAGTTACTGCATGTTGAACAATCAAGAATGAAGTGAACAAAAAACAAATCATTAAAAAATAACACTCTTGTTTTAGTTCATAAAATTCGTTCAAGAAAAATATAATTGATTGTATGTGCGTCTTAATTATCCATTTCATTAATTTCGTAATTCGTACATATAAACATGTAGAGGTGGATAAAAATACAGACCAACAAGAACACAGAAAACCCATAACGAAACTCAGGTGGCCCAACCTCAATTATAATATTAGCGCACAAACTTGAGTGGAAAATTTGCCAGAAAAAAGCCACACTACTTGTGTAGACCTAAGATTGCGTATTTTATTGTCTTGTCTTCAAAATTTATTTCAACCTAACGATCAATGCGTCCTTATATTCTAAGCACCCACTAAATGCAAACGCAGAAATTATAGAAAACTCCTATACCATTTCACTACTCTTAAAGATATGGCTGAAGAATGCAATGAAAGTTCTGTTGCTGCCACCGCTTCCTCCCTGTATAATTGGTGGCCAGATCTTCATTTAAATTCTTTATCTTCTTGGAGTACAAACAATCCGTGGAGCCAACAAAATAACAGCTCCAACTCTTCTGGTGAAGAGGATGTTTCCATGTTTACGACATACACAAATGTTTCTAATCAGTCTGGTGTCAGCGTTGAGTCGTCGCGAAGACTAGTTGAAAGTGCATCGACTAATGAACTGGTTGGAGAAACGGGTTCTGATGATCAGCCATGGAGCCATGTTATTTTGTAAGTATTTATGATTATTATTGGATTCTTAGCTAGCTAGAAGTTTTTATTTTCATTCCAAAATTTTGGATGTATCCTTGTGTTTTTTTCCCATTTCTTGATTAGTAGTGGCATCCCTATTGCTATTTTTTGTTCATTTTGGTAGGTGGGAAAAGAAAGATTTATTCAAGAAAAGAAGAAAAGTTTACTTTGTAGGGTTGGTGAAGATAGCTTGAGTGGTCAATAATATATAGTTCAGTTCTATTTTATAACTCATTCTTAAGCCGAATTCAAATCTTTGTTTCTATTCATATACTTGTGTAGATTTTATGGGCATCAGAGTAGTACAAAAATACAAGAAATAATTATATATAGGCACCCGAAAATTTTTATTTGAATAAATTTTCTTGAGCCTTTCTCTCAAATCAGTATTCTAACCAGATTATGCACAGTCACTACTAAATTAAGATATATTAAACGTATCCTTGATCTACATCATCTAAAAACATAAGAAGCTGCGCTCGAGTAAGAGCAAAATTTAATCTTGGACAATTTGTATCATATGCAGAACTGGTAGCAATGAAGACTGGCAGGACGGTCAAGATGTAGGAGAGAATCTACTCGATGATTTTTCTTCGAAAAATCTGCCGATTAGAATGTTTGATCCTCAATATGACTGCTTGAAGAGAATGGACAATGGATGGGATTTCACAGGTTCCTCATATTTAAATTATACGAACAAACAGTTCAATGAGAGCTCAGTTCAAACTGGAAGGCTAAACAAGCTATCAAATTCAGTCTGCGATCACCAGTTTGGTTCATGTTCATGCAATACATCATTAGGTTCTATATTAAATCATAGTAGCAACAATTTGATGTTGTCTGGACGAAACATGAACAGGAATTTCAGCTTATTATCATGTCGATATGGTAATGAAATGAAAGCAGAAAATGAAGGAGCCATTGAGATAACAGGGACTGCATTTCCTAGGTTGTGCAGCAGCACTAATGAAGGGTCTGAATATCAAATGAGCTATAACAAGAACACAGCCGTAGGTGGTGATCGTGGCAGATATCACAGTGGATTAATTTTGTCAGATACGCAGTGGAATAATTCGAAAAGTTTGGCTGATCTTATAACTTTTAGTAGCTATTCAAACAAGCCACTGATCGATATCAATTCTTCTAAATCAGACCTAGAAACTTTGAATTTATCAGATTCTAAGAAGAGAGAGCAACAAACTTCCTATCCAGTAAGCTCTCCTGTCATATATTCTCCTTCTTCTTCTTCTCCTTCTTCAACCAATGCTACTCAATATTAATTGAAAATCTTTCAATAATCCGAGCAACTAGAGTGCTATACATCTAAAACCATTAAATTAATACCTAATTTTCTTCTCCTTTTTCTTTGTCTTCCTAAGTTTCAGCCTGCAGTAGCAACAAGCTCTACAGTAACAAGAAGCAACGTGAGGGCACAAAGAATTAGAAGTCATGAAGGAAAGAAGAAAAGAATTGAAGAGAGTTCAGGCCCGGTTGTGAAGAAGCCTATGCTTCAATATCCAACGGTCTCATCTACCAAGGTAACTGTAGTTCAACCAATTAACAAAATTATCTGTAAAAAATCCGTCCTGTAGTCGTGTTTTTTGGTAGTATGACGAAAGAACGATATTGTATGAGCTTCTTGTGAATTGTTTTTGTCGATCTTTAGACACAGGTTCCCAAAGTAAAGCTTACAGATAAAATCACAGCTCTTCAGCAACTTGTATCGCCATTCGGAAAGGTTAGATATTAGCATTAATATCAAGACTATAGCTGTTTTATTTAAAATTCTTGAATTTGTGGATTTATAATTTGTTGGTTTAATGTTTTAATTAGACTGACACAGCATCTGTGTTATGGGAGGCTATTTGCTATATAAGGTTTCTACAAGAACAAATACAGGTGATCACAGAATCCATACAAACTCTTCCTAGTTTCAGAATTATTTCAAACTGCCATTACGTAAAATTATAGAGGGAGAGAGAGAGAAAAATCTAATTAGAAGATATAGAGCCCACTTCGTCTTTTTAAATATACATCATCATTTATATTTAACCTGGAATACTTTCATGTCTGTCTGCAGCTATTGATGAGCAACCCCTACATGAAGAGCAACTCATGCAAGGTGATCATTCAAAAGAAGCATCATATTTATCTAACAATGCGTGAGCAAAGCTTCGACTAGAAAAAACATATTCCCTTAGCTAAAAAAAATTTTAAAAAAAAAATAAAAAAATAAACTCAAAGTCAACAGTTAATTTTAACTATATATTTATAGAACCCATAAATTTTTTTTTTTCCATTTTTATTCACTCATTTTATCAATTTTTATGAAAATTTACTGAAAATCTGATTCTCGGCAAAACCAGAAAGCGGCTTAACCGTGTGTGTGCTAACGTGTATTTTCGTAAACTTTTTGGCATGCAGGATCCATGGGGAGGATTGGATAGGTGGGAAGTGGAGGTTGATCTGAGGAGTCGAGGTCTTTGTTTAGTTCCAATTTCATGTACACCTCAAATATTTGGCGACAACAATGGATCCGACTTCTTTACTCCATCGTATAGAGAATGTTTGTACAAATGAAATAAGAGAAACGCTACAAGTACATATTTTTTTAACGGATTTTATACAGAAAACAAAATTATCTCATAGGGATTGGCTATTGCCAAAAATTGTTTTTGGCAATGACAAATCACAGGGAGATCATCTTCTTGTATAAAATCTGGTAAAAAAATCTGTATCTATCGAATAATTCTCACTAAGGAGGCAAAGGTTGGTTGATGTTCACAAATAAATTAAGATCCTTTCTTGGTTTGTTCTTAATAAATTGTTGAGTTAAATGTAGAAAGCTAGCTTCCATGGATAATGATCTATTTGTACAGTACGTGTAATGAATTTTGAACTGTGCTGCAAAATGTAAAAAACTTATATGTATTCTTGTGCTACCTTTACAGTACTATATATAAATTTTTAAAATAAGAAATGTTTTCAACGAGTAAACGATTGTCTTTTCATGAAAGAAAATTTCATTTTGTCTTAGTCCATTAGAATGTTAATAATTGAAAATATATAAAAAAAAAATAAATGTTGGGAAAGTAGTTGATTTATCTTTTCGACCAAATTAATAAATTATTTATAAATAATTATGTATTTTAATGGATTCATAAGTATTATCTACTAAATACTAATTTCTGTCTATTTATAATTTCTTTCCAAAAAACTAACCGTAGTTTTCAATTATTTTGGCAATGCCTCTTCTTACGTCAATTTCTCCGGATGTACTCTTTTCTCATTTAATTAAAAAAAAAAAAAAATTTAACATTCCATTTAATATATGTGCTCTGAAAGACATGGGTTATTTTCATCCAAAATACTGCAAGTCGACTAAGCCTCCTTTTGGAAGCTCAATTTTATAAATGATTTATAAACTCAGACAATGTCAAATATTAATTTTAACTACATTTATTCATTACTATGCATACATTTTTGAGGATCCTATTCTTCTTACTTATTCTTTGTTTGAGCCATATTATTTTCATAAAAATACATTTTTAATAGCGTATTAATGAAAAATGTGGTTAAAAATAAATATAAATTTTGTGTTTGTATGTAATAATATTTTATTTAAAAACGTGTTATTAAAATAATATTTAATCATCGTTGAAAAATGTAGTTCAAACAACCTAACCATAAAATTTCATCAATGAACAATATAATTTAGAGCAAAAGAATCATCACGTTATTCCATTGAAAATAATTTGAAAAATAGATAAGAATAACAAAAAAACAAGAGAAGAATTAAGAGAAAAATGAAAAGACATGAAAATATTTCATCCGTCTTCAAGAAATTAATTATGATTTTTGTTTCTTAAATTTATCCAACCAGTCTACATCGTGAAGGTAGGAGATTTAGCTGAGTACAATACTGAAACAAATCATAGGTTCAACTTTCTTCCTTATAAACTGAGTTTTGCTGCATCAGATACACTAAATTTGGATAAGGCAACTTTTCAATCACTATATTATCTTCATGAACAGAAACGAAATTGTAAGTTAAAAAGAGGCTGGAAAAGGAGAGAACAGAGGCCAGAGGGAAACCGTAACATAAACACAAAACAAATGGTTGGGCATTCTCTGTTTCTACATCACAGAATTGTTCATTTCTTTCACTTTGGCTGTCAAGCACACGCGGGGAAAAATGAAGCGCAAAAACGAACAAAAGATTTCGATTGAGACTCCGACCAAACAGACAATTTTCACTAAAAATAAAAAGAAGCATCATATTTCACCATTCTCTGTTAAATCACAATTCAGTGAAGGTCTACAATATGTGAAGTGAGAACAAGCTTAATAGTTCACAAGCCATTCCTTGCCATACAAACACCATGATTATCACGTTTTTGGATTCTGTTTCAGGCAGAAGTTTCTCCCCAATGCCAATTCGACATGATCACACAACTCCATATTTGTTTCCAACATTTAACATCTCTTCACCATCAACGGAAGGGCTGATATTGTGTGACTCCACGTTTTGGAGGCAACTTCCTCAGTATGAAAAGGACAAGCGAAGAAGGTATTATCTCTACCAACTGCAAATCAATGTATTACATACTAGAATTGACATATTCATGCATGCTAAAAATATTAATTAGCTGAAAACAGATGACACATCAAGCAGCAATAAGATGTTTAAAAAGTGGCAGATGAAGCTATGACGGCAAAAACCTAGCCTTTTACTGTCTCAGTAAACAAATTTGATAAGATCCACTAATTACAGAATGGCATAGAAATGTTGACAGAAAGGCAACATGAACTAACCACCATATGCTTAGCATGCTTAAGAACAGAAATGATTTGGCTAGAATATCTTCTTTGGCTTATCGATTTTCGTTTTTTCATCTTATCTGTTCCTAATTCACATTTATCTTGCTCCCTCTCCTCCTCATCCCGCCCCCCACCCTCCCTCCCTCTTGTCTGCTGATTCTTCTAATGATTTGAAGTAGTAAGAGTAAAGAGTGGAAATTGAGAAAAACAAGAATTTGTTGATCTCGACAAAACAAGATGAAGGATATAAAGAAGAGTTGTGGGGACATGCCTTCTGTAGATTTAAAGAATTATATCATAAAGGGATAATTTATGAGGGAAAAGACTTGGGCCTGTTTGACATAGGTTTTTTGAGAATAGATTTAGTGAAAAGTGATTTTATTTATTTATTTTTATTTTTTTGAGAATATGGTTGAAAAATAGGGAAATGTTATGGGTCCACATGCAAAATTATTTTATTCGAGGAATATATGGGTGAAATGAGTTCAAAGAAAAATGAGCTTTAAAGAATTTGTTCCAAACAGGGGCTTAATTGTTATTTTTGTTTTCCAATTTTCCAACTTCCTTCTCATTTATCCTATAAAAACAGGTGAAAAAGGACAAACAGCAAGAAATTTACAAAATTTATCTTCCTAACCCATCTCATTTCTCTCTTACATTTTCCCTAGACCTTATTTTCCTTAATTCTCATAGCCATCTCATCTTTCTCTTACATTTTCCCTAGATCTTATTTTCCTTAATTCTCATAGCTATCCAAGTCCAAAAGGAGAGCAAAATCAGAATAATTCTACAGTGTTAATGTCAAATTTACTTATATTCAATTACTAAACGATTAGAATCAACTCAACACTAGAAAAACCTCTCTAGAAAAGCTTTGCAATTCAGTTTCTTTTTAATAAAATCCGACAATTTAATCTGGACATAATGAATAACTTGCTAAAATCATTACAAAAATTCCTATATTATGTCTGACCTAAGAATGTTTTCCTGTGTACTCAAACCACCATATTTTCAAATCAAACTGCATTTCCCCTGCCCAGTCCCATACTTCTCATTTCCTATCAATCCCAGGTCTCAATAATGCCAACATTTATCCAAGAGGTCGATTGCCAATTTACAATTTTATAAGGATAAGATTTTCCATGCCACTTCACGCAGAAGGCTTTATTGAAGTGGATAGAATGTACAAAGGAGATCTTCTACTTGTGTGTCAGAGTCTGCTTGGTGTGCTTTTAAAATTTACAGGCTAGGAAACAGACAACAGTCGGACATATCCAACACATACAGATACGCTCCAAATATATATACATTATTTTTCTGAATCTCGAACATGGTGAGAGCATGAAGATGTATCTATTATTTCTATAATTCCAACAACTGTTAAACATGAACATACAAGAGATCTTGTTAAATAGAAGCCATTGTAGATTTGCTGCACAAACCAATTAAGATTTTTTTGCCACATCCACAGAATTATGCGATCCACCAGTTATGAAAAATGATAGGCCTAATATTAATGGTAAACATAGAGCAAGTCAACCTCTTCACATGCAATGAGATACTTTAAAATTCATTTTGGAAAATTGCATGGCTGAATGTTCGTGTCTGTGTTCATGTTTTGTAGTGTACTAAAAAACTAAATCGAGCACTAAATAAAATTTGGTCAGGGAGAAAAAGCTAAATGCAATCTCTCTTTCTGCACTCTTTAGCCATGTTTTAAAAGATGTAATGCGTGGCGATGTGTGGAGGCCAAGCAATGGGCTAGGCGAACTTAGGCGAGGCATAGGCGTAGAAAAACGTAAAAAAGCGTTTCTTTATTTTAATATTATTTTATTTTTAATCAATCAAAAAATTATTTAATAATTAAAAATAATACCTATCAAACATCTAAAATAGATTTATAGAAACTTTATATATTTTTAAAAGTCCCAACAAAAAGATAAGTTTAAAATGTTAATACTAAATAGTAAATAGATAGGAATTTTTGGAAGTTTTCCTTTGTTCAAGGCTTCAAACGGTTGTTTTGAATTTAGTGCAGATGAAGTGAAGAAATCAACCTTTATATTTAAACTTAAAAGAATTGTAAAAAAAAAATAAAATAAAATAATTTGAAAAAAGAAGAGGAGGATAATAATGGTCAACGATTGCTGTTAGGCACCAAGCCACTTCGCTTGGCGTTTCCTCGTGCAGCACGCTTTTAGAACACTGCTCTTTAGTACTGCTATCATGCAAGTATATAATCATGTTTCTTGCCACTTCAATTTTAACGAATTGCCTCTTACAAAAATACTTCTCAGTCAATCCATCTTAGGAAAAAGAGAAACTAGACCTCATAAAGATAAAAGCACCAAATATGCAACAAGAATTTAGGGTTCTGTCCACTTTCAGTTACACATAATATGCTAAATAAAGTTTATTTGAGAACTGCTGAAATAGCATTAATACTAAGTTTTTTACAGAAGAGGCGGCGGAAAAACACACAAGATACTTTCATCTTGAGAAAAGAAATTCCCAACGTTTTCATTACCAATCCCTCATTTGGTTTTCACAGTATAGAAATTATCTCTTCAAGAGTGTCTATGTCACACAAGTGTAACAGAAATGGAAAGAGGGCAAGAAGAAATAACCTAGGAGTTTTTGTTCAGGATCCTCGTGCTGCATGTTACTCCACCTCCAACCCCACCCATCTTAGCTAAGAGATATCCTCTAAATACACATCATTATCCAAATTCGGTACCAACTTCCTGAGATAACTGATCGCTCACTGACCCCCTATACTCCAACAATTCCCCTTCATATTCATTGGAGATTTTCTGGAACATATTTGTGGATATTTGTGCTCTCACACAGAATCTAATACTTAATAGATAACTTTGTTCTCAATCGCCTAAATACTGCACACTTCCTGCTCTGATATACTATCCAAATCTCAGATATATAAAATAGAAGATTAGTAAAGAACATGTTAAACTAGAATATGTCAAGACGAGAACGTTCAAAACTCCAACAAAACGAAAGAAAAGGAGATCAAAATCAAAGAAATCTGTCTGTCTGGAACATTTGTTTTCCGTTGTTTTTGAAAATTAATAAAATTCCAAAATTAAGATAAAATTTCTCATCCACCATGCCCAGATAATAAACAGTAAACAGATAAGCAGTATTATTTTATTAACATCAATCTCCATCATATAACATAATAACTACTTTAGTAATTAACAAAGCTTACCAGGTAATATATGAAGTTTAAAACAGGATGATCCAAAACATCCAAATCTGTGGCTTTATCAAATGCATTAAAGCACATCTGTAGATGATGACACAATAATAGAAACATAAGTCAGATAATTGGAGGAATAATGATTTTAGAAAGGCTTATATTATGCACTTCATCATCATCTCCTTAGGATTAGTAATCAACAAAATACATGGATTACCAAAAAAAATAAATAAAACAACCTCAACTTGAATATTAAACAACAGGAATCTCATTTAGAGGAAGTTTATAAACTGTTTTACTTCCGCAGCTCAACCACATAATAAGATGTGAAGTAACGAAGAAGACAGGACTTACCATAATACATCGAATGAGAAAACATGTAAAACATATTGTGGTTACATAGCCAACCTGAATGTGTGAAAATGTTAGGGAAACAAAAGTTAAACATAAATGCTGAAGGAGATAAGAAAAATGTTCTGTAACTTGGAACATACCTCCTGTAGCTTCTTGCGTCTTCCTTTTGATTCTACTGGGAATCGCTGTAACATTAAGAACAACCTGAATGAAGAGAAATTAAGAGTTCAAAATTAAACTGATTATATAAAGAATCCACAAAAACCTTGTAACCTGCAGATGCCAAATATATACCAAAAATCTATCAAATTCTACATTAATAAGTAAGTCCTATGAGATCGCTCAAGGGAATCTTAGTCACAAGGATATGGACAAGTGGAGAATATCAATTTCACTTGAGACCCCATTTCCTTTCCGAGCAACATATATACTCGTAGTTAAAATAACACTATCACAAGATTATCATTATTATTTATGGCGACCTTCTGTAAACTAGTATTATATGTCAACAGAAAAAGATGTGCAAGGAAGTAAATTTTACGTTATAGAAACAAATTAATGATTTGAGAGTTTACTGCAACTAGAGCTCCATTTTTCCAAAATTCATTTTCAACCACATTTTCCCATAAAATAATGTTACATGTAAATCAAAAACTTTTTCTTATTTTTTAAGACACATTCTCCAAAAAAATTCACTATTCCAAAAAACATTTTCCCCAAAAATCTCATTTTAATGGAGCCCTAACAGGGGCTAGATAAAATCCAATTGCATTGTTGGAAAGGTGAGAGATGGTGATGGTGCATATGATTGTTTCCCAACTTTGTATTTATTTAGATTGATCAAGAAGCTCACTTCCAGAACCAAAGCACTTCTCAATGTGATGAAACATAATTACCTTCCACCATAAAGAAGAAACCCCAGTGCTGCAAATAAAGACACACCTGCAAATTGATGTATGCTTTTAGCAACTCAAAGTTTATTAACACATAAGCAATGTAATTTAATGGAAAATCTAAAATAAAAACCTGCAAAGAACATCTTCGATAAGGTTATCAATAGTGGGATGGGCTTCCACCATATAATTAACCACAAAAGTATCTAAAAAAATTAAATATGAAGTTAGTCAACCAATAAATGCAAAACTTCAGAAAAGATATATGTACAAATTCATATATACATTGTACCGATACTTGACTCCGCTCAGTAGATTAGCATTTTGCCACAGCATCACATTGTAATGTATGTAAAGTATATTTAGACTTGCTACACAACTACTGATAACAATTTATAGTTTATCAATATTTAGTAATTAGCCAAGTCCGATTTTAGAGTGTCAAAACATTATCGGTAGGCGAAAAATAACTTTACTGAAGCTACTTTTTTTATTTAAATGTCTTTACACTAACTATAATGTAATCAGACGGAAGTTTTCTTATCTTAAAATAAAAAGATATCTTAAACACATCATAAGTCGACACATGGATACTATCTTTTCATTCATCTTGCGAAGTCAAAATTAATGCAGATAAGTTCTTTTAAATTGATATCACACCTACGTGAAATTTAACCATGTGTCTTCAAACCATGATTCAAAGTTCTGACCTCTTGTCTCCAATTTGGAAGTTATAGGAAAGAAACACAAGGTAAAGAAAAGGAATCAATTAACTACTTTTAAAATCTACAAAGTTGCGATTGCATTTAATGAAACTTAAAACCAAGTTCAGATAAACATATTTATACAAAAGCTAAAATAAAGCTTCCAAGAAAAACTTAAAGCTTAGTGGTCAGCATGCACATCCCAGTCCCAGACTCACTTCTTTTCTACACCACAAATTCTAAGTCAAGAAAACTATGACTAAATCAAACATTTTCTCCTGACCTCAAAAGTCACAACAACGTCTCAACAGAAGTAAAAAATAGAATAGATTCCGCTCAATCAAAAGTTCAAAAGATAAATTGTTGTTGACAATCCTAATAATATTGGTCATTCTTATCCCCAAAACCATATGCAAGAGTTGTAACTTGCAACATATCAAGCTAATTCAAATGTCATCGCAACAAGACACCAGCCTCATTCAAACCAGGACACCCCAAATTTGACCTACCCGACCGCCAATTGGTATATTACTGTCAAGGTTCACCAAAAGGGATTTATAGTAGTAGTCATTTGATGTGTTGACTTCAAGATGGTCAAAATCCTCTACAAGGACTATGTTAAAAGGATTCCAACTAGCACAAACATATTGTCTGCCACAATACATCTTCAAAAATTGAAATTAAGAGAGAACTGACATAAGTGGGATAAGATGACAAGACAGAAAACAAAAACTTGCGAGAGGTCAGGACAGCAAGGATAAACTGAAAAGAAGTAAATTGAGGAAGCAATCACACCAAAGGTTGTAAGCAAAATACCCAACAGCAGATGCATCCAATGCGGGTATAAATCAACAAGTTGCTTTTGCACGGAGAGAAGCATGCAAAAGATTAATAAATAGCACATGCATCCAAAATAAGCATAAATCAACAAGTTGCATTTGCATAAAGATATGCATACAAAAGATATAGAATAACTTCATATCCAAGTAGATTGGCCAATGAAGCTGAGTCACGAATGATATTATCCATAAAGTGAAGGCAAATATACACTGAAAAATATCCTAACGATGCATACACTACAAGAAAGTATCATAGTTAATTTCAAAATAATAATAATAATAATAAAAGGGAAGGAAAGAGACAGAAAAGGAAGAACTGTGACTGAATGCATCTGATTGATTTTATGGTTTTTTTAATTCCTTTTAAACACTTCGTATCCAATCAAGTAATAAAAATGTCAATAATGATTCTTCAATATTCTCAACATTGATAGTATAAACAAATTGCAGCACAACAAGATCTAAGTAGGCTGTCAAGAAAATCCATTTCCGAAACAGTCTATGCCTCATAGATTGCAATCTTATCTAAACCCTCCCACTGGATGAAACATATTTGGGCAAGAAATTTCACCTGAATGGCATACACCACAACATTAATTGTGTAGAAAGTAGGCCTCAGCCCATCCGTTGATACAGCGCGTGCCTACCAAAAAGTCAAAAGGGGGGTT